CTGCGGGAGTTGCGGCTGTCGGGCTTCTGCCCCGCGGTGGCGAAGGGCGGCGTCACGCTCGCCGAGATGCGCGCGACGGCGGGCGACAGACCGGCCGAGATGCCGAAGGACTGGTGGAAGAAGAAGCCGCAGCCGCAGCAAAAGGAGGATGGGGATGCCGCAGAGGCGGAGCGCATTGTGTCGGTTATCACGGTCTTGCGTGGGCAGGCTCCGTTCTATGCGACGTCGCGTTGCTCCGTGCCGTACGTGCGCGGGTTCGCAAGCACTGTGCCGATGCCTGCCACTGTGTGTGCGCGGCGTGTCGCGAACCTCCTGCCGTAGTCGTCACCGCAGTTCGGAGCCACATTAAGGTCGGTTAAGCACCAGTGCGTGGAGGGCACAGGTGCGTTAAGGGAGCGAAGTGACGAGGAGATCTCCCCTTGCTCATGTCCCAGCTTTTGCTCCTGTGCAGTTGCTACACGGTCGCTGCGGCGGGGAGTGGCAAGGCGCTGCTTCTCCGTCTGCTAGTTCTTCCGTGTGCGTTGTTATTGTTGTTGTTGTTGTCGTTTTCTTTGTTCAATGCGTCTCCCTCTCTATTTCTTTACTTTCCTCTCGCTCGCTCGCTCCCTCCCTCCCTCACGCCCTGCGGCGGAACGGCGTACTGCGATAGCAGTACACACAGAGCGAAATATATATATATATTTAGATATATATACATACACATAGTCGCAGGGCGGAGCGCACGTCATGTCGTTCATCCGCGACTTGTTCCACCGTGAGACGCCGCAGGAGGCGATGCGCAAGTACAAACGCGGCCTCGACCGCACCATCCGTGATATCGACCGCGAGCGCAACAAGCTCCAGCAGCAGGAGCGCAAGATTGTCGTTGACATGAAGAAGATGGCGAAGCAGGACCAGATCGACTCGGTGCGCATCCTCGCACGCGACCTCGTGCGCACCCGCAAGTACCAGCACAAGATGTACCGCATGCGCACGCAGATTCAGGGCGTCGCGCTGCGCATCCAAACGATGCAGTCGACCGCGCAGATGGCGACCGCGATGAAGGGCGTGGCGAAGGCGATGCACAAGATGAATACACAGATGAACCTCCCCGAGATGCAGCGCGTGATGCGGGAGTTCGAGAAACAGAACGAGATGATGGGGATGAAGGAAGAGATGATGAACGACGCTGTCGACGACGTCATGGACGACGAGGGCGAGGAGGAGGGCGAGACGGAGCTGGAGCTGCAGAAGGTGATGGACGAGGTTGGCCTCGAGTTCAAGAGCAAGGTCGGCGTCGTTGACGCGGCGCTGCCACTGCCGCAGCAGCAGCAGGAGGCAAGCGCCGAGGACGACAAGGAGCTCGACGCGCGGCTCGCTGCGCTGCGGGCATCGATGAGGTGACCGCTGCCGCGTTC